AAAATACTTTTACACAATCAGAATAAATCAAATATAAGATTAAATCTCATCCTGTTGCTGGAATTGAAGATTTGTTTTAATTTTAAATTTTGATAACATGAACTTGAAAATTACTGGTCATTTCAACGTTTCGAAGTTGGTTGTCAGTATGAATAAGATATTTTTTGGGGGGGGAGGGGGGGGGCCATGCAGAATTAAAACACATTACTTAAAAAAGCCTGATGAGGGTTTCCCGTACTAAAGAGGGAAAGAAAAATATTCCTTGTGAACGAAGTCAATTACTAACGATATATATATACATATATGTAATCGAAAGCGTGCGATAATCACTAGTGAAAGCCCTCCAGGCTGTTTGCATAACTCAAGGTGGCCGAAGCGAAGAATCACAATAAATATTGGCGTTAGATAACCGTCTATGCAAACTCCATCCCCCATTTTAATTCTACTTTAAACACTCCGGCGTATAATGAGCCACAACGCTGGCCTCAATCAAGCTTGAACTTTTATAGCTACGAGAGATTATAAAACGATAGCTATACTTCAATTAAGTGCGTATTACTCTGAAAAAAGAAAACTTTACACTTTAATAAAATACTATGCATAAAACTAATAATTGGAAAACTGACTGTCCTTGTCTCTGTTTTCCTGCTTATCTCGAAAACCATCAATTAACTAAAAGATCTTTAAGCCTGAAATGCCTGTGTGGCGCACTAAAAAAGGAACATACAACAATGAGAAGCAAGGTTAAGGAGTGCGAACTTAAGTGTTACAGTTATGCAAAGTTGTCAATTCTTAGCTAAATCTGGTAGATGAGCTAAATCTGGTAGATGACCCAAGCTCGGTTTTACTCAACAATCGGTTCGCAATGAGACTTGCCTGCGTGATCGCAAGACCAGATGAATGGCTTGGTACTCACTGGAAATAGAACAGATAAGGCAATGAAAATTGTGTATAAAACTCCTAGTCAATTCATGTATAACTTAAAACAGGCCACGCTCAAATGCACAAGCCATAAAAGATACACGCTCTGTTTAATTTTCTTAAAGCGGAACTTTTTACACATGCATGAATGCGTTCGATCCAATTAAGCCTTAAGAGCGGTAGAATAATCAGCAACGTCCAAATTTAAGAACTTTGCAACGTAATTTCGGAAAATTAAATACGGTTTCAGTTATATTTGTCGAAGCTCCGATTTTCGAGCGAAACTTGTGACTTCGTCTTCAGAAAGTTTGGCGACGGTTCTTAACTACATTAGAGTAACTTTTTATTCGTCAGTAGAGATATATGAACGTTTACAAAGGCATTACTATTCAAAAAATCCTTACATGCCGAACGGCAAGGGCTCTCGATATTCCATACTTGAACGGCAGGTATAATCCAGCTTCTACTTTGTAAAGATTAAACTTGAAGCTGATTCAGTCTTACTTCTTACGTGCTAATTCACCTTCTTTTATTTAGTGTCCATCCAGTATAGTCCAATATGAAATAACGTTTGCAATTGAAGACTAAAACAAATGTACCGATGTCTCTCAGGGTGAGAATCAATCAGAATTTGCTCTGAGCATTTCAACACGGTTTTACTACAAAATAAATTGCACATCTCCTTTCGATTTGAATTAAACAAACATCTTCTTCACAACATTCCTCAGTCCTCGAAGAAGCAGAAATGAAAAAACCACGCGGGAAACACTTTTCTTCTTTCCATACCTAAACTGAGATAAAATAGATAGGAAATGGTCTTAAGACTTGTTTACGCTCTCAGTTCTTTTGTACAGAAGATAGAAGCACGTTTGTGTAATTGTGTATGTGAAGTTAACGAACATGTCACCAGGAATTTGCTGTGATGATGAAAGTAATTCATATAACTCATGGATATGTTTACTGTACGTAATATACATCTCTTTCCTCCCAACATTGCAAGCAAAACTCCAACAGGGATTGACTAATTGTCAAGAAAACCCCAAAACTGTTGCTATTTCCATTTCGATCCGTTTAGGAATGTAATAATGCGATTGATAAAAAATTGACTTACTTAACTTTGGCGTTCATCGTGTTCTTCAGGGTAATTTGCATTGGTAATAACCTCAATATTTTGGGGTTCTTCATTTCTCATAGGATTTTGCCTCGTCGCTGATAGAGTCTGTTGTTGAATATTCCCTTGCTGCTGTCGAACCTGAACAGCTGTGAAAAACAGTTTCATGTAATACAGGATCCAAAGAAGAAACATCAAACATACTAAGCTGAAACACTCTTGAGAGAAAAGCATGGCTCTCAGAACAGTTGAACAACAGGAGGAAAGAAACCTGCACGAAATTGTCTGAATGGACTGTCTTTGCGCCGGGGCGACTTCTGATTGTTTGATGAATAATCACGTGTACAGCCTTATTTCAACAACATCAAGCTCGGCTACTAGTGACGTCACGTCATAGCGAAATGGACTGTGACCACTTAAGTTAACACGGTGCCGCTTCAAGTACACAGGTTCAGCTCATGTCTCTTTGCGTCCACGGCCTAAATTCTCGTTGAAACATTTTATAGGATTATAGCACAGGACTGTGCTAGAGGAATGTGCGGCGACTTGTGATAATTATATGAATCATCGCGTGTACAGCCTTGTTTCTTAACACCAGCTATTAGTATACAAAGAGGCGGAGTCACGACATAGTGAAACGTACTGTAACTTAGTTTAATATAGATCTCACGTAAGGGTCCTTTCATAAAAAATAACGGCCCTTTGTGGTCATGGTCGTAAATACTCGTTATGGCATCCTATAGGATTATAACCGTGAACTCTGGAGTGGTGAAAACCTCAAATAAAGCTTAAAAAGCTAAACCAGCATTCGGTACTCATAATGTCGAGTGTTGTCCGATTGATTTAAAATCTTCGTCTCAGTACAATAACAATGTTAAAGTATTTGCAATGTCTACCAATTTCGATTTCATCTCAGTTTTACTATAAATTTATAGGTGTATAAAAAAATTGCTGGCTCAATTCAGAGATTTTGACAAGATGAAAATTAACCTTAAATTAAATGTAAAACAGTGGCAACTAACATCATGATGGCAAAATTACATCGACGCAACGGCACGCTGTAGGCCTGCTGCGCGCCCGCGTCCATTAACCTAGTGAAGTAGGTTGAATTTTCCAGTCCAATATAGCAGAAAGCCTAAAATGCTCCTCCGGGAGATACAAATTGGCACTGGTAAGAAACGAATTACGTAAGGAAACCGAAAATCTCAAAACTCATTGAAACTGAAACATATCGTCAAAACGTCAGAAAAATAGTAACCAGTTGGGAATATCTGTAATTTAACCAAAGAAAGAAAATGACGAGTATGTGAGAGGATCAATGTGTTCTTTAATAAGTGTAATTCATGGCAATTAGTGAGAAAAACAAGCACAAATAAAAGTTTTTTTTTTTTTGCTGTCCGTCTCCTCGATACCTAGTTAAGAAAAGGTTAGAAAAAGTCTCCCTCTACGCAACTCTGACATTCATCATTTTCTAAGGATATTTTCAGTGTGGTGGAACTGTGTAATTTTTGATCTCTCGTCTTCTTCTCCCTCTTCTCCTCTCTCCAGTACTAGCCGGTCAACTTTGTTCTTTTCACTGGTACACGATGTTAATTAATGTTCTCTATCGGTTCCCTCTGCCACCAAGCTCTGTCCATTTCAATCATAGGATCATCGATCCACAACACGGCAACGAAGATAAGACTGGAAATCCTTGAATTCACTGTATCCTTGAAAGTTGTCGGCAGAGAGAAACAAGCCGTTTAACTGGCGGTTTAGTCTCTCAAGTACAATTTCAGCTCGATCTAAAATCGGGTTTCTACTTATCTGGCAAAACTTTTATTCCCCAGAAAAGGAAACATGCGTGGAACTAGGTCGCTATGGCCAGTAACGTTACAAAACCGTCTCAGGCTGCTGATTAAATTGTCATTGTTTCATAATACAACTTGGAGAGTAATTCATATCAATGCTATTTACTTTACTATGTGATACCAGAGATGCCCGAAAACTAGAAAATTATCGAATTATAGTAACCACGATTGTCCAAGGAAATTCCTGACGAGAGGACGTACGCACTTGTATTTCAGGAGCGACGTTTCGAGACGCTTATCCGGCAAAGATGTGGTAAGGTCCAGCTAAGTGAAAGTAGCACGCGCTGATAAACAAAGGCTTACACATGCCTCGTGGAGTGTTTGAAGAAAACTTTGAGACCTTTCCTCCCCGTTTGTTTCTGTGTAGCCTGAACCGAGAGTGGCAAGAATTCAGTTTGTTACTTTGGGTTTCCTGAAGCCGGTGGTCTTGGATCAGAGAAGTTTTTCAAACATTTCTAGTCATGTAGAAAATTTGCGATGTTTAAGATGATTGTTGTAGTTCCTCCGAAAAAACTTTACGCTCGGGACGTTATAGCCGTAATAATCCACAAAAGAGTGAATTTTTAACCCTCGCTGACTAGTCAAAATAGAGAGATTGCGAAAGTCGTGCTACTAAGGTAGAAGCTGTTAGAAAGTTAGGGAGAGCCAGACTGCAAGGGAACGGAATCGCAAAAGAAGACGAATAGAGGAAGACGAGGATTGATCAAGTGATTAAGAAACAGCTAAAGATGTTAGAGATTCACCACCAACGTTGCGCTCCTCTTGTGTAGATTGACTTTGATCATACCTTTTTGTAAGATGTCCTAAGAGGAATAAGATCTTGAGCTCTGTGAACAGAACTAATAATTTATGTCTGAAAGCCTCCTCGCATATTTGGAGACAGTATGCCACCGTAACCTGCTGTGTTCTTTGGAGCTGATTTTTAATAGCTTCCTCTCCGTTTGGTCACTGGATGTCATTAATAAAGGGCAGAGATCAAAGTAATCATTTCTTGTCATGTTTTAGAGCATGTTCTAGAGCACAAGGAAAGGCACGGCGTGCCTTTCCTTGTGCTCTAGGTTTTATTTTTCAGCACAGTTTCCTTTTTTTCTGCAGCACTTAACGTTCGGTGGTCATTCAGCTAGTCCACTCTCTGATATGTTACCTTTTTAAGCTTTTATGTATGCACAATACCCCAGAAAGAGATTTAAAATGTAACTTCTTCCTACTGCAGTCAAACGTTATCAAGCAAACAGGTAGTGAGAAGATTCAAACTATCAGGTGAAAGTTGTTATCTTGATCTAACACCAAATTCTGGAAATTTATTTAGCAGAAGATGTGTGAAGTTAGAGGGGAGAATTAACAGTCAGTTCTTGGGAGTTAAAGGGTTATCAGTCGGCACTTGTGCTCGACTGATGAGCCAATAAGAATTTAGTCTTAACTCGTTCATTTTCAGTATCAAGTTAGCTTGGAGAATCCTTGATCAGCGTGGTGTCTCGCTGAAAGCATGCTGTGGGTTTTTTTACAATATCATTTCATATATAGATAAAATGTTTTGAATATCAAAATCTCTTTCCCAGGTTACAGTAAATTGCACGTGGCGCTACATTGGCAATTTCTCTTAATTTCCAACTACTCGACGTCTCTCCCTTGGCAACACTGTCAAATAAGTTCCTAATACTTTTATCTGGCACCGCAACGGTGCTTAAGGCAAACAGTTATGATTAAAGTTTCGCAAGAGGGAGAATTCCAGCCGCACAACAAACTTCATCTGCCGCGCGTGTCCCAGTTTCAATCGCAGTAGGTACAGTCGAACATGACCTTGAACTAGTGGCTTCACCCGCAAAGAACAAGCGATCGTCAACAGGGCTGGCGAGCACGCGACGGAATTCGTAAGCATGCGCAGTGGGTGAGGTATATCCCCCGCGAATGTAAGGATGGTTTGACCAATGGAAGTACACGAAGTCCATGAACGAATTGCTGGCAGGGCTTGGGTCCGAGGAAGTGCTGTAACGAAAGAATGAAAAGCAAAGTTACAGCAGCACTTAACAGAATGCAGGAGGCGTATTACAGTGCAACAACTGTCACTTTAGTCCTATTCCATGATTGCATCAATCAGTTTCCAATTTTGCTTTTCAGGTTTTGAAAAGCAGAAATTAAGTAAAAATAGCATAATTTTCAAAACTGAGCATAAATTTTAGCCTGATTTTTGGACAATGCTGGTGACACAATATGCCTCTCTTACAAGCACAATCTATTAGGGCCTACTCAACTTTGCGGTACATTCATACCCAAATATCTCATCCAGATGACTCAAAAATCCTCTCAACACTTCCTGTCCGCTGAGATACCGTTTCTCTTCCGCGGGCTCGGCAGTTTCAAACCCGACGACCACGTGACATTTTTCGTCACTGTCGGGACAATCATGTGAGCAAGTCCATATCTCACTAGCGAACCCACGAACGCTGTAAATTTGATGCAGCTTCTCCGGCCAGAAGCGGCGTTTGAAACGACAAGCGATTTTCCACGCGCCCAGCATCTGTATCGTGCGTATGGCCTTGTTCTTGTCAGCGGGAAGTGCTGGAGTGAAGGCTATGTCGCCATCTTTGAGGACTGTTAGTGGTACGGTAATGATCACGTGCTTGGCGGTCATCTCCTGGCCATGTTGATTTTTCAGAAGAATTCGTCCACTGTTGTTGGATCTCACCCTGTCTCCTGCCCGAAATATATGAATCAAGACATTCTTTCCTCGCCAAATTTTAGTTAGCATTTGAATCCTTAAGCTCTCTTAAAACAAAATCCGAATTCCATCCAAATACAACTTTTTTAGGAGGACAAGGAAAAGGTTTTAAAATGAAAAAAAAATTAACCATCGCTGAGAAACAAAGGCTTTGTAATAATCATATAGAGGCACAATAACTGTGCCAACAATTTCAGAAAGAGGTTAGTTGCATGAAACTCTCACGAAAGGACGAAACTCAAATCTAACGAAGGGAAAATGTTACAACCAGGTAACCACAATTCTCTGAATAAACTACTGCTGTAAATCAATTGCGCGCTGACAGATTCCTGAAATAAATAAAAACTAAAACGAAAGAGCTAACCTTTCCAAACAACTTCCTTAACCTGCCAGTTAAGACGCTTATCCACATCCATACTGTTAGCCAAGTAGTACTTCACCAGCTGTGAGTAAGATTCCGCGAGTCTAAAGGAAAAAGTTTCAATGACAGAGAGCGTCGGTGCCTTGTACCAAAACAACTTCAGGTAAAAAACTCAGTGTATGAAAAATTGACTACGACCCTGGTTTACCTTCAGAATACCACGAATTCTACAGGCAGACATTTTTATCATTTATTAAAATAACCTTGTATTTTTCAAAACAAAATCAGTTCAAAAACTATTTTACCTGCAATCTTCAATTCCCCACTCATATTTGGACTCCATTCTCCTCCGCCCTTCCCGCACTCCATAGTGATCCAAGGATCCTGCAGATATCTTCATCTTCCACCAATCAATTACATCCAACACGTCACGTGACAAGCCTTTCTCTTCAAGTCTCACCTTCACAGAATCAGACAAATATTCCGTTTCCTTTTCTTGATTTCTGTATTTGCTGTTGATCAATTCGGCCCACGCTTCTCGAGCAAGTCTGATTTCCCGTTGATTACTGTTCGTCGAATAGAGTTTTCCTTTGTAGAATAATTTTTCTCCTTCTTCCCCAGCTTCACATTGAGAAGCCTGAAAAAATGACATGTGCGTAAAATTTATCTGAAAGGCTTTTATGCATTAAGATGAAAATCTTCTATTATTAGAATGGCACTCGAAACAATTTTCACCATCATGAGCCTTTCCACGGCAAAAATGTTCTCAGGTGAAAGAAGGAGATTGGCGACTTCAAAAACATTCACCTAACGTATAGTGCACACCTCACTCCATTCCCCCTCAAAACGTGTTCATGAAAGATTATCACTTTAACATCAACTTAGTACTTGTACAACATTTATCCATGCAGATGGGAGGCTCAGCAACAACATACAAGCTTTGAATCTGTTTCACAAGCCAATTTTTTGTAATTATAACAAATAATAATAGAGAGATTTATTTCGGTGGTGAAAATTAAAAAATATACCTTTTAACTTAATTACGATCAACTTAGTACCTGTACTACATTTATCCATGCAGATGGGTGGCTCAGCAACAACATAGAGGCTTTGAATCTGTTTCACAAGCCGAATTTTTAGTAATTATAACAAATGGTGATAAAGAGATTTACTGTGCAGTGAAAAAAAAAGTCTACCTTTCCACTGAACTACGAGAAGGGGTACAAGACTTTACTTACTGGCAGAACAACCCATCCATTGTCACAAGCAATCTTGTTCACCACAGTGTTAGATCCATGGATAAACTCTCCACCAAGATCAATTGGAGCAAACCCTTCAAATGGCTGAACTTGCTTCACTCTTCCACCTGGGTTAATTCAAAGTATATCCAAGTAAATATTAGTTCCTGATCATGGGGGTAGATGCTCCCTCCCCCCCCCTCCCCCAATAGCCCTAGAACTGTATCAGATGCAATTATCAAATGATTACAGCAGTTTCATGTCTTTTCTTGGAGGATATTAGTGTCACACTCAGCTGCACCTCATCAATCACTTTTTGTTTTGTCTAAGACATTTTGGAGTCATCTATGATCTATTACTGGACAGATGTGTGGCAACATGGAATCTGTAAGTGACATTTTCCACATGTTTTGCCTAAAAAAAACCTGCAAAGATACCTTAAAAGCTTAGCTCCTCTTCTTCTGGGCAGCAAGCTCTTGTTTTTAGGCTCTTGAGAACTACAACTGCATTTTTATAAACCACTTTTCACATAAGAGCATTTTCATTTGCAATCACTTGATATGATCTTTTCAAAATTGATACCCCTTACCTAGATAATTGGATGCCTCCAAAAGGACAACAGGAATACCAGCCTTAGACAAAGAAGCTGCTGCAGAAAGCCCAGCCAGCCCTCCACCAACAACCACAACCTGATTTGCAGGAGAAGGTCCTACTCTTCCTAAAGAAGATCAGAAAAAGGTTAAGTTTTATTATCACAAAGACCCATTTTTGCCTGAAGCTTAACCAGGTTTCCACTGAAACTGAAATTAAAGAAGTAAAAGTAGAGATGGCACAGCCCCTTTTCACCTTGCCACTCAACACCAACAGGGAAAAAATGAATTTTAGCTCTAACAATTGATATTGAAATTATTTGTTATTGACAAGAGCACTGCATACATACCATTCCAAGGAAATGAGGGTTGGACAATATTTGAATCCAGGCTTGAACTTTCTTCAAAATTATTCATCAAGGCTTTTACTTGCCTCATAGTTTTTTTTCCATAATCGGATGAATTCAAAATAGTGACAATATCTTCACAAAAGTTTAGTAGTACAGATGTTGCAATGTAGCCCCATTTGATACCATTTTCAACCTGGTAGTTAGGAACTAAATTTGGCCTGTAAACAATCAAACAAGTCCACTGACTTCCAACATCAGAAGAAATAAGATCAGCCTCTATCCATCGAAATCCTGCTATGTAGAGAGACTTGCAAAGACCTGATTCTGCACACTTGTTGGTAGGTTTAGAATTATGCTTCTTTTTAATCACACTGTAGATTTCCTTGCAGTTGTCAAAACCACACCGTTGAGCATACTGCAAAAAAAGCAATAATAAATGCTGTAACATTAAACCTTCACACCCAAACATCAGTATACATATTCTCCATTCTGTTCTCTATACATTTCCTTAAGTGCTGACAAGGAGAATTTGTTTAACAATCAAGAGCTTCTTTAGTTGGTGATCATTTCCTTTATTCTTGTGACCTTAATGCTTGATTCAAGGGTGATATTGTGGGGAGAAATTAGAATCCAATCACTCTTAGGGGTTAAAGGTTAAAGTAAGTCTAATACTTGTGGTAGTCTCCTGAGAAAATCAAGAGAAGTATGGTTTATGATGCACTCTCAACATAACTTAAGGTGCACAACTGGGTAGAGAAATTGTTCAATCAACATGTAATTTCTCCTTACAACATCCAAATTATTATCCAACAAACAGCTAATGATAATACTAATAATAGGTATATTTAACACCAATTTCTCCTAACTAATTTACAAGGAAATGTGTAGCCACTAGAAAAGAGAATTGACAATCAGATCTTGGGAGTTTCCTTTAAAAAGGGTTAAGGAAAAATACTCCATATCCCAAGGATGCAACCTTAGATTTAAATAACACTTTACACCCTAACATCAGTTACTATATTCTCCACACTTTTCTTTAAACATTTCCTTTAGACTGACGAGGAGAATTTGCTCAACAGTTAAAGCTTTTTAGCTTGGCAATCATTTCCTTTACTCTCATGATCTCAATAAATAATTCAGCAGTATAACTGCTAGGAAAAATAAGATGCTGGTCACTCTTACGATTTTAAGGGTTAACACTGGTCAGTGCCATGATAATGAAAGTATCCAAGCTTTCCTTTACTTCTATTAAATTTTTGGATCTATTTAAGATTGGTCAGGTACTCTTTTAATCAATTTAGTTTTTCAAAATTTGGTTAGAAAAGCTAGTTGACACATGTTATAATATAAGTGCAGGCACAGAAAAATAAAGAATTATCCAGTTATTTTGGCACTTCTGCAAAAATACAGAGCAGCAGTGTATTAAGCAGTCACCCTCTTTAAGTTTCACTAGTGACTTAGACAGAATTTCTCCTTACACTATCAGCACAATATCAAGCAGACAAGTAATGAGAATAAAGAAAAATATCAATTAGGGGATTATTGGTTGATCCAATACCCAATTCTCCAAACTAACATCATATGAATTGTATGGCAGACAGTAAGGAGAATTTCTGAGGAGATCTTGGGATTTAAAGGGTTAAGTGGTCAGTTTTCAGAGTTCCAAAATTGTTACCTCTTAATGACTGTCATTTAACAGTTGCAGTCACTCTTTACAGGGTCCCAACTGTCTTTTGGTATTGTCCTCAACCTGCACTGAACAGTCACTTGAAGTGGAACAACTCAGACAAATAAAACTAAGAAAAATCTTCCACATAACATTAATCCATTTGTGTCTCCCAAATCAATTTTTTTTTGTATTTTTGAGCAAGTGTAAGCACATTTATCTATTTTTATAATACCCTTATTCTGAAAAATTTTTATTAACCCCTTAATTCCCAAGATCTCATCAGCAATTCTCCTTACTGTCTGCCAAATGATTCTCATTATGTTAGTTTGGAGAATTTGGTATCAGATCAATTAGTAATCCCATAATTGATATTTTTTTTTTATTCTCATAACTTGTATGTCTGCATTGTAAGGGGAGAGTCTGTCTTGGTCACTCACTGGAGTTAAAGGATTAAGCTGTCACCACGCCATTCCCTGTGGGATTAACTGCTTAATACAGGTTTGACTGTATTTTGCCCTCTCAGCCCCAGAGTGACCAAATTTGGTGCCCCTTCTTTTAGGATTACATTGGTTAAATGTTTGATTATGAGAACAAATGCCTTGGCACTTGAGCTCTCCCTTCCTTACCATCTGCCATAATTCTTGTGACTTTAGTTTGGAGAATTTGGTATTGGATCAATTACAACCCCCTAATTGGTATTTTTGATGGTTTTATTTTTTGATCACCTAATATGATTCAACAGGTATTCTTTAATATTATTAATAATGAATTATTTTAAACTGAAGTTTGTTTAGCCTTAAATAGCTAAACACCTTAAGGAAATAAGACAGTTAACAAACCAGTACTTATTTTATTAAATCAAATCACCCTTCCTTAAACAAAACAATATTTAAATTAGGAATAAGAAAATAAATACTCATTCTAATTATAATTATGGAGGGTCTTGGCTCATTTCGTGACAGATGAAAACAGACGATGACCTAATTTTGCCAGCTCAGTGGTTCAACTATTAAAGTTGTTCCCCTCTAATTATTCAATTATAATAGCATGAACGAACGGCATCTAAAAGGTAGAAACTGACCTTATTTACCACTGAAATGGCCTCGTTTACTAACTGCAGTCTGATATGATTCAGTTCTTCGAGTTCGTTGAATCGCTCAGCTGTAGAAATAAACTTTACGAAGCCATAGTTTCCGCCAGCAAAGTACTGCACAAATATGATTTCACATGCAATGTGGGATTGGTTCTCCTTTGCTGTTTCCTCCCTTGAAGCCACCAGAACAGTTTTCATTCGATTTTTAGCTAAATATTGTCTTTGTTGAAGGAAATCCCCAAGGAAGGCTCTATCGATATCGATAATGAATTTAACAGACTTCAATAATTCCTCCTCTATCTCAGGGTTGAATTCTTCGCTAAAGTTGACAATTCGCATCATGAACAATTGCAAATTATTTAGAGGCAACCAGCCTAACTTCAGCGTTAACGTGCGACGGGGACCCTGTAGACGGCTACTACGAGAGAAAGACTGGTACTGGTGTCTCTTGACGAGCGGGCTGGGGTTGGGGTTAAATACGGTTAAATATATTTTTTTTATATTTATCATATAAACTACGGTGTTTTACAAGGATTTCCAGACCTGAGAAAAGCCGTAACAACACTATATTTCTACACTTGTGTTTGATATCGCCAATTAGCTGCTGACACGTCACTCGCCTTTCGCGCCACTCGTTCAAATGAATGAACGGCAAAGCTTGTACCATTCTCAATCCAAGGTCGTTTGTCGGATTTTTTTTTTGGATTATGGCTACTAAAACACTGAAAAATCCGTATCGTTACAGATAATGACGTTCAAACTTTCCTAGAAGGGGAAGACAACAAAAAGGAGAAAAGCTGGGGGGAAAAAAAAGATTGCAGCTAAATATTTTTGAAGACGTTTCGACGTCGCTTCACCCAAATTTGTTCTTAAACGCAGTTAGATTCGTTCTTAGAAACTTGCCGGTAAAGATCGTATAAATTTCTTAAAGATTTGTTCGCTTTATATTCAGCCACTATTCAGTCGCCTTTAAAATAAAGTATTCAGTACAATGTCTATGGTGGGATCGAATAAATGACTATTACTCCATCCGCTTTTGAGGAAAGCTTCTCCAATCACTTGTCTCGTTACATGTTTACAGCAAATTCCTCGACTTTCTGTTCACTTCCCCTGTGCAGGTCCTTCAAGACGAACGAATCGACGGAAATTGTTGTTTATGGTACTTTGAAGCCGAAAAGGCGTATTTACGACAACTGAACTTTTTCGTTCGCGTAGTAAAGAGCCTAGTTTATCTTTTTCATAAGAAATAGATAGAGAGGGAAAGCTAAACGAGATGAACAAATAAATTGTAATAGTATTTTATGTTTATATGCTTCTGAGAAGATTTATCTGAGAAATAAAAGAAAGGAGCTGGTAGTATTTTGTCTCAGTTTGTCTAGCGTTGTTATCAGCCTGATGAGGCTTCAAGGTCATGTCTATATTTTTTTTATTATTATACAACTGCACGAAGTAGAATGCAAATAATGATGACGTGGGTCCAAACGCAGATCATTGATCCATTTTGGCGTCGTTTCTGGTGGCGAAAACATGAGGCCATATTTAGTGCAGAATGCTGTTTATGAGACGAAAACACTGCCTCGAAAATCTCGAAAATCCATTTTAAAAATTTTCATAGGTAAACAATTTCTGTGTATACACAGACGTTTGCTTCAATTATAAATTCTAACTGAGAGATGTGCACTGGCACGTGAAAAAGCCTCTTTGCGGTCAAGTAATCTCAGCCTGCTGAAGCTTCAAAGTCATGTCTATACTTTTGTTATTATTATACAACTGCACGCTTCTGGCAGTGAAAACATGCGGTCATATCTTATGCAGGACGAAAACACTGTCTCGAAAATCTCGAAAATGCGTTTTAGAAATTTTCATGAGCAAACAATTTATTTGTATGCACAGACGGTTGGACTATCATCAGTTGTTAGTTGGACTCAATTAGACTCATTTTTTTTCTCGTTTTAGTATCTGGGCAACTGCTCACCTACCCCTCCCCTAACTCAATAACAGTCAATTGACAACAAGTTAAGATTAATGTTGAGTTAGGGGAGGAGTAGGTGGGCAGTTGCCCAAATACTAAAACGAGAAAAAAAATGAGTCTAATTGAGTCCAACTAACAACTGATGATAGTGGATCCAAACGCAGATGATTGGTTCATTTTGGTTCAACGTGTCTTTTCTGGCTTGGTGAGCACATTGTGGTGTGGTTATAGGTCACTTATTGGTCACTTCAGTGTTGCTTTCGTTGTGTGGAAAATTTCCTTGAACAGCTTACTTGTTGCTCTTCTGCTGGCTCGTTCTTGAAGCATCCTCCACATCATGCTCACTATTCAAGATTTTTTCAGTCTATTCGTTGACTTTCTTATGTTAATTATCCTCTATATCTTGATGGAAAGTGGCAGAGCTGTGCAGCAGAGGCAACCGGCAAGAATTAATGAGCAGCGTGAACAAGTGAGGAGATCGGAATTGAACAGAAGCGGGGAGAGAAGAAGACAACGAGAGGAAAACCAAAATTATTGCGTTCCGCCAAACACAAATTATCCAACAGAAAATGATGAACGCCAAGGATAATTATTCAGGGTAAGCTGTTTAAGTAACTTTTTCTGTATCTGTTGGATTAGCCTTCAAAAATTGAATTTAATAACATAGTGTACATCTCTTACTCGAATGCTTTGCTTTGCGTCCACTTGCAATTCATAAAGGGGTAAGTTTCTAAAGAAACTGTGGTGCTGCGTCGGTGGGAGAGTATAGCAGGTAATTTAGTGTTAACAACTGGGTTGAAAACGTAAATTAGCCACCGTAAAGGGTAAAAAAGCTGACGTTTCGAGTGTACGGTGGCTAATTTACGTTTTCAACCCAGTTGTTAACACTAAATAACTTGCAATTCAGTCGTGCGTAACTGGCGCAACTGAAACATTTAAAATAAATAAGCTAGATGCACTCATATTTTCAACCTCGGAAAATGTTTCATACTCTTCCAGCTCCCTCACTCTCTTTTAGCGGCCAATTTAATGTGTTATTATTTTTCCTCGAAAAAATGGATTGGTTACGTGGAGGTGAAAAAGATGAATTCATAATGACAAGGCCGCGGGTGGGGGGGAAGCAAAGTTTTTCTTTTCTACTTTTAAGACACGTGTACGTAGTTATATTTGGAAAAGTGAAGCTATCTTTCTCCTGTGAGCAACTTATCTTAGTAGTATTGTAGGCGATTGTAAGTCGCTTTGATAACGAATTGAGCTTAGTTATCGAATTTACCCCTTCCTTTGGGAAGATAGCTTCTGAGCTACGAGTCTTTCCTAAGTTTTTATCGCAATTCTTTTGACTTCAACTCTTTTCTCCTGTGCAGGTCTTTCTTCAAGTCATGAAGAAATCGGTCAAAACTGTTCTGATATTTTGAAACTAGAAAACGTGTAGAGGTGTACGGAATGTATTTAACCATTTTGTCTTACACCTAAGATTAGAAAGCCTTTAGTAACATATACATGGCCGACATGGATGGCTTCACAAGATGAACAAATTACAGAGCTTTAGAATAATCTTTTGCGAGGTTCAGATAACTTCTTCTTCTACCTTCACTTGTAATCTTTGGAAAAGAAAGAAGATTGTGGTTTTTAAATCTCTTGGTTTGTCTTAAATTGTTGGAGCAAGGTTAACAGACCGTAATGTTGTTCTATGAAAATTGTGACCTTTGCCACCGTCATTGTTTACATTTTTCACTTTTTTTCGTGCTGTGCACCGGCTAATTGGGGAAAAATGTAAAGAATGTTCGTTCACTTACAATCAGCAAACCACGGTACGCGGGTAGGGTTATAGATTGTGCCAGTTAAGATTTGTATATTATGCCATTAGCACTGTCCGATTTTTTTCCATATCATGCTCGTTTTTTAAAACTATGCCACTTTTTTGAAGTATACTTTTCGAAAAAAAGAAACAGAAACAGAAAGTCCAAATTATATATTTATTGCTAATAAATACATCTTCTCAGATGTTTTAGTGTGTAGTATCGCTGAGTATTTTTACGAGCTGTGCCGTAATTTACGAGCCCGCAGGGCGAGTAAAAATACGAACAAGGAGTAGAAATACTCAGCAATACAAAACACCAAAATGTCTTTTAGGTCATTTATTATCCGACCGCTTTTTCAAGTTTTCTCCGAAGTCTTTCTGCTCATTTTGCATAAGGCGGGAAAAGTAAAGCAGATAGAGAAGCGTAATGCGCGCAGCCGACTGGTTAAACAGGCTTTTGAAAGTACAAAATAACCAACTGTCCAAATAACCGTACAATATCGCAGGATATTTGTACTCTATTTGCGCTTTATTTGTACTTTACTTTGTGCTGTTGCAATTAAATAATCAATCATGACATCAAGTTTATTTTGAGTTATGTACTTGCTCTGATGAAAAACAATTAATTGCGACCTTAAACTTCAAACTAGAAGCATGACTTAGTGTGTCACAATGTACGATGTTAACATCACGTTTCTTTTCGACGCCATTTTATTGTGAGAACTGGGACCGGCGCAACCTTTTCTTCCACTCAGCACTGGAGTAACCTTCTTCCCCCAAGACGAAGCAAAATTGAAAGTAAACTGAACCACGGACCGAATTTAAAAATTGTTTTTCTTACAGACAAAACTGGTAATGTTCCCTTTAAAAAAGGAAGAAAGCTGAAAATACGCTGATTATGCTAACAGTGCAGGAAAAGCGAAAATTATACTCATTTTTCTACATTATGCCAAAAATTATGCTGGCACAATCTATAAGGGCCAAACCACGAGTGAGTATGACTAAGCGTATCACAAGTAACCAACCTTGTTCCAAAGGGTACTCTCTCTTCCTACCTCAAGAAAGTACCCTAGTTGCGGCTGGTCAAGAGCAAATGCAGAACAGAAAAAACGCCGTGAGGAGGCTGGAAGAGAGAGGATTCTGGAAACGAGGTTGATGAGTCTTTGGCTGACATTATCATAACGGCGTCATTACTTCATTTTATCTAGAAATAATGATTCAGCCGTAAATAAAACCATTTCCGAAGGCCGAAATATGTGAGCAATGTATCATTTCCTTCTTTTTCAAAGGGTAGGTCCCATATATGGATTTCGCTGTTATCGTGTTTCGCCCGCGTCCACTCCCTCGAGAATCCCGCTTCCCTTTTTTACTGCCCCACGCATACTCTCCGGAGTAAAGGGAAGAAGGGAAGGGAAGGGCGAAAATTAATGGAAAGAAAAAAGAGCGACGTGAAAAAAGGATATAGTAAAGTATAAAGATGCATGTGCGCGTGAACTTGGGCTTCTTTCCTGGCATATCCAGCTATAAACGCCAAAAAGTTGACATTGATGAAATCTCAGTTGTCTTTTGTCGATTGTTTTACAGCTCTGGCATAGTACAAGCAAGTA